CTTATTTCTTTTTATGACATTCTCTGATTTTTTTATAGTGTGTAAAAAATAGCATATTAAAAGTCAAAATATCAGAACTTATTTTATTAGAAATTAAATGGTTATTAACAATGGAAGTTATTTAAGGCCCTTCTTTAAAATTCTTTCAATCTGTGACTTAGATAATAAGTTTAAGGCGTTTGGATAACAAAGACCCAATTATAATGAGAACACAGACAGTTCAAGATAGTAGAGAATTCCTTCTATATCACCACCTCCCAGTATTGTCAATTCAGACTAGGGTGATGAATATGCCATTTCAGTTTAAGATACCTTGCTAAAATGTCCTTGTTTAATTTTCTAAAATATGTATTAAATCTGGCCTTCTTTTAGAAAAAGCTGTATTTCCAATTTGCCCTTTTGAAGATAAAAGGTTTTTCTGTAGCATTAAAAATGTCAGCTTTACATTTAAATTAGCTTTTAATGAAAAAGAAAAAGAAATTAATGTCTATTCTAAAGTTCTGACATTAAATTTCTAATCTTTAGAGTGCAAAAATATGAGCAATGCAGTGTTTATACACACTTTATAGAAACAAGTTGTTTATTTAATCAGATAAATAAAATCAAATTTTAAAAAATATACTTTAATATGTAAAACATGTGAGGACCATATGAGATCATTTTCTCTATTACAATAATTTTGCATGCATAAGAAATTAATACTCTTGAAGTTGTAAAATCCTCTGTAGCTAAACTTTAATGGTATGTTAGTCAAATACTGCTCTTCTTCAGCCCTACTGTATAGCACATAACTTCAGTTCACAAGTACAACCACCCGTCCCCCCAAATGTAGGACACAGAGTCACAGCTGTTAGACCAAAAAATATGAAATAGGTTACAAAGATTATACTGAGCACAGACTCAGCTATTATTATGACTCAAGTTAAGAACAGACTGTTTGGCTCAATGATCAGGCATGTTGTGTCTTTTCAAAGCTTGGCAGCTCAATGTAGTTAGTATACTAATAGCTTCAGTATTTGATAAGCATGATTCTAGAACTTAACCGTGGTTGTCATATACCATTTAAACAAGCGCTCGGGCATCAATTCGTTGTTTATCATCTTTATGTAAAAATATCGGTTTGGCCTTCCTTGTCAAGATACTCAGCAAAACCTTTCCAGAAACAACTTTTAAAGTCTTCATCTTTACCATTATATCTACTGGTTAAACTCATTTCTTCTCCAAAGATAAAGGGCATGGTAGGTTCATATTGAGTCAGACTCTCAGTCTCTATATTGTTGTGAGAATTTAGGTGGGACACATTACCACAGAAATAAACAAGCTAAGAATTATTTCTGTCCCACAGAGAGAGACACACACACACACTGTCTCTCCCCAACTCTCTCTCGGCTAGAATACAGGTTCCCTAGTCGTCAGGGAATATTGCTTATCAGCTTAGGAAGCTGCTATGTGCTATTCTTGGCCTCATAAAAGGCTTTTCAAGGGTATTGATATTCCAACTTCATGTGAAACAATTCAAAATTTTTCCAGTTAGTAGTTGGAGAAGGGCTAACGCTGAGCCAGAGCTGGTTCAGCCTCATCCCTGGGGCAAGGGGATGTGGGAATTGTATTATTTCATAGCCATGGGGAACCTATGGGAGAATTCCCATGCCACTCCCATATGGCAAAGGCCAGCCTCCGTACCCTATAATATGGCAGTCATCTAACATTAGACACATACATGAGAACTCTCGAGTGCCTGCAGGTGCCAGTACCTGGGGACTCTTCCTTTAAAACTGTTAACAATCAGAAAGACCCTGGATTCCCGTGTCAGCTGTGTGTTCTCTATGCAAGTCCTGACACCACCCTCAACTAAGTGCTGCACTTCATGAGGAAGCAATGGCTGTACTCTTCAAAGCTATGATCCCCAAACTCGCTTAGAAAGTGTAGACCTATGGTCGTATTATTAGAGACTTTCAGCTCTTCATGAGATATCTTGAAGAGCAAAAGAGACTACACCCCCAAGCAGATGCATGCTAACGTTGGCTTCTCTCCTTGGATTCCTGCAGGAGCAAATGACTGAATTATCCTCTTGTAGCATCTTTAATAATTCCTGTCCTCCACTTTCTTTCCATTCCTGTCTCTTCTTGATAGTAGAGGGAATAACATGTGGTAAATGGAAGCAACTTGTTTCTTTTAGACATGTTCCTAAGATTATTTTTTTGCTATTAAGGAAATGTATGTTGATATACTTTCTTTTACTTTAGAGAAATTTTACTAATTTTCATGTATCATTTCTAGCAAATAATATTTCTCAGTGATTCATTTAATCAGTACCCTTGATGCGTGGCTACAGACACGTGGCATGTAACTAGAATACAGGTGTCGTATGTTAGGACCCGTCATACAGCAGATTCAGTGGGACAAAGAAATTCCTTTTGACCCTGTGGATCATGGAAGATTCCATGAGATTTTCTAGCGGGTCTTTGAAAAATGGATAGCGGAGAGATATTTCAGAAGGGGAGTAGGACAGACAGAGAGGAAAGTGTGGAATGTTCATAGCAAAATTTGGCCTTTTTAAAATCCAAACAGTAGAAGGTGCCACAAGGAACAGTGGGGGAAAGGCAGGGAGCACACTAAGGTTGGCATGTCCCTGAGCTCTCTATGGTAGTACATTATTTTTCTGGATTATTCTGGTTTTATAACTCATTTATTGTGGGCCTTCTATATATAAAAACTTAAATCATATCTTCTTACTTTAAATGTCAGCATAGATTTGGCTGTCTTTTTGAATTCTAGGGCTGGGTGAGATGTAATTATGGGAACAATTTTTGTCACTATTACTGTCATCAAACAAAACTTATATGTAAGGATATTTGACACTGTGACTTGCCCAAGATTTCCTAACTTTTTAACATCAGCATAAAGCTTATGGTTATCTGTACACCCTGTCCTGCCATTCAGGTCCTTCCCCAAAATAATAGTAATGATCATGAAGATGATGATAATAAACAGAATCCAAAGTTGCCAGTACTGAAGCCCTTACCGAGTAGACAAGGGGTTTTATGAGCACAGCCTCAATGCTTCAAAGGTTGCTATTACTCACTCTGGCATCAAAGTGTCAGAGTGTCAGCTTATTGTTGTTTTTTACCTCTTATGAAGAAACACGTGAGGCCATACCAGCAGGTAGACAGGCCACCATAGGAAATAAGCTAGAGATCAAACCCAAAAGGAAAGTTCATATAGTAGTTTGCATAGTCCCTGAATCTTTAGTTACATCATTGATTTAGTAATATTTTTGAAAGGAAAAAAGTAACACTACCACATGTAATGCCCCATCTGTTGTAAGAAGCGTTGTATTTTCCAAAGTGTTACAAATGTATATAAAGTCTGTCGCAGAATCAAGGAGAAAGGTAAACTATACTGGCATGCTAGTAGCAGGGTCAAGGTCAAAGCCATAGACAAGACATATCAGGCCAAACTATATGACCCAGAAAGTAGAAGTCAAAGAACCAAGTTAAGGGGCCAGGCTGGGTAGGGAGATTGAGCAGGAGTCGAGGGGTCTGAGCAGGGTTGGATTGGGAGGTTGGAGGAAGGGTGTCCTTTAAGGCTTGAGTTGAACATCATATTCCCTGGAAGGGAAGTTAGGTGAGGACACTACGACCACAGTTCCTCACCCAGCAGGATCACCTTTGGGAAGCCCCAGGACACTGTCTTTGTCTAGCTTTGGAGTAAGTATGTGCTGTGGCCTCCTGAGTGTTCAGGTGAGGGCAGGGGGGATTTCTGAGGCTGGTGTTAAGGCCCTCTTTGGTATGTTCGCAGGGCTGGCAGCTGTTTGTGGTCTATGGACTCCCCGATCCTGTGCTCACTGCACGGTCTTATATAGTCTTGCTTCTTTTCTTTGTTATTCCCACATTCAATCTCTAATATTACTGAGAAGCAATATTAAATATTTTGGGGACACCTACAGTTTTATGCACCCCAATTCTAAAGGGATATTATTTTTGTTGAACTTTGAAAGAAAGCATATTAATGACATCTGTGGTATATTTGTGTTTGATATTTAAAAATCAAAAGCAATTCAAGACTATGTACATTAAAAAAAACATATTGTGGGCACAAAAATAATATTGTACAATAAAGGATTTGTGTCTTATTTATCTACTTGGTGAGTAGATAAATAAGCACAGTATCTGGTACTGAGTAGATATTTAGTAAATTTTAGTTCAATTGAACAAGATATTTGTAGTATTTAAAACATTGTCTTAAAACATGATTTGTGCATGCTGTTTGTTCTAAGATGCAAGACATATGGTTATAAATAATAAATTAGTATTTGTTTTAGCAGAACCATTTAGGAATTAATTAAGCTTAATATTTTTAATGCTATAGCTGACATTTTGATGTACAAACCTCATAAACTTTCCCTGATATCCCCAAATTCATAAAATATTCTTCACATCCATGGACAATGGGCTTAGAATTGGTCATGGTAAGTTCAAAGTATATAGTCAAAAGTGTAAGCTCATTAACCAAATGGGGAACAGACACAATGCAAACAGATTAGGAAAGTTTCTTTCTTTTCTTTTTTTTTTTTTTAACACTCTGGGACAAAAAATTTTTGTGAAATTTTGTGAATGTGCAGGAAGATTTTTAAAACGCACACAAAGTAACTTCTTTCTGATTCAATTTCATAAATTGCTACATGAAGAAGCACCCTCTAGTAGGTAATACCCAGAAATCAGCACTTAATATGGCAGTAATGGTTATTGCTGTCATTCTTTACATCTTTAAAAATAATTAAGCATTACTGCACAGGCATTATAAAGTTCCCCTATCACCATTAAGAGGATATTTGAGGTTTGATGTAATTTAGCAAATTACATTATACAGTAGTTAAGGTTTTTATGTAGTGAAGTAAAATGCATAGTAGTTAAGCACACTTACCATATAATGCATTGTACAGAGTTACATGTTCCAGCTGCTGCCAGCTTTGTTCCAGTGTCATTATTGCTTTGCAGGCTGACGTTCCTCAGGGAGTGATTCGAGTGCAAGCTCCCCATCTTTCGAAAGTTTCCATGGCAATACAGCTAACTGAAGAACTAAAAGCCAGTGATGTACTTGCCAGGTTTCTCAGCCAAGAAAGGTAGAGGCCTGTATTGTGTTAATTATTCCATGGTGTAACTCACTTGCTCTTCCTCCCTTTCCTCCCCCTCTCTCTCTCTCTGATTTTTTTCTTTAACTATGGGGTGGTATGAAGTGCTTAAAAATTTTGTCTTCTCAGCAGCAGAGCAGAGCAGACTGAACAATTAGACTGTTGGAATGAGTTTGGTTCATTTGATGGAGTTTGTGTTCAGGTTGAGCCTGATTCAGATGGGCTCTCAAGCATTCCTTCGCTGTGCCTGGGATGGGCTTGGCAAAAGAGGCCACTAGGTGTTCTTTCCAGAATATGTCGATTGGAAGTTAATTACTATTTGTAGACTGTAAGGAAAGATACTAATTAGGATGCAGTCGGATTAAAATAAAGAAAAGGCACAACTTAATATGTGAAATCTACTGAATAAAAAACACTCAAATTTGAGAACAAAAATCCATGAAAAACTGAGAGAGGACAACCAGTCCCTTGAGCTTTCAAGGCCCAAGAAGAGAACGTGCTGTCCTCGTTAAGGACAAGTCCTTCGCCTCTGTTTGGGATTGATGGGGCAGGGAGAGTCCTTTGAAAGCTGTTAGCCTTCCTCTGTCTGTGTTAGAGCAGGCACTTTCCAAAACATCCTGCAGTATCTTTGCTTGAATTTTAGAGGTTCTAACAAGTACATTGAGTTTTCAGTCTTTACCCTTTGAATTCTTGTTTTTAGCTAAAGTCATATTTTCCTGCCCTCCCCACCTCCATTTTTCACTCATTGAAACAAACTAATCTAAATTTTTAAGAAGAGAGGGAAATCTGAGGCATCCACATGTCACTTTATGAATACTCTCTTTTTGGCCTTTTGTTGAATTTAATCTCATTCTAATATTTGGGAGCTTCAATCAAGCTTTCTGCCAAAGCCTCTCCAATTTTAATACAGTATCACAAGTATTTCATATGTTTCCGCTCTGATTAAGGCCTTCTGCTAGGTACTGGTAGAAGGAGTATAAACGTATATTTTAAAGTACCTTCCCTCAGGGTTTATAAATTGGGAGAAGGGATGCATCTGTGCAGCTAACAGATGGTGTTGAAATGGAAGGGAGGCTTATTGGTAATATCTGGGCTTTCAGTAAACCAGCATAAACTTCCCTTGCAATAACACTCTGATGTAAGTACTGTTATTACTTACTTTCTACTGATAAGAAAACTGAGATCTGTAAGGTCACACATTTTTCATAGGTCTAGAATTCTAAATCTGTGGTTTCTGTCTCCATAGGCAGTCCCCTAGCCACTCTCTGCACTGGTGGCAGGGTCCAGAACATTCCGGACCTGGGGGCCACTGGTGCAGAGTCTGGGAGTAGATGGTTCCTTGAGATTAAGTCCTGGCAATGGTAGAATTTCTTAGGTGTCTTTGCTCCCTAAGGGGTCTCTCCGCTTCACTGGAGTCCATCCACTTCCTCCCTATTCCCTGTCTTCAGTTCGTAGGTACCAACTTTTGCCATTCTTCCCACCAGGGATGATGTCCCGTCCTCTCCCAGATGTGTACCTGAAGATCTAGCCAGACTTCAGATGTAAGCAGCTCTTCCATCTTCCAAGCTAGACACAGTTAACTTACACAGTATTTCCTTTCAGGACTCAAGTGCTCGATTTAGTCTGTGCCTTTGTTCTTCTATTTGCTGATAATATAAGATGTGACTATGAAGTTGTATCATATTGTCAACTGTGACTAATATTAATATTTAGGCCATCACACGAAACAATAGTAGATATATTATTACAGAAAGCATCAGCTTTGTGACAAGTGCCCTTCGCATATTTGGAATTTCTGCTTGTGGTGCTTTTATTAAGCATTTGCTACCCCTGGGTTCCTTCTTCTACCTCCTCTCTCCTCCTGTCCTCCTCCACCCAGAGGGAAGTCTGGGAAACCTCTCTCCACTGACCTCTTTTTCCCCTTTCCTTATGCTTGGGCATGCTGGAGACAGACATTCAATGTGAATTCAAAAGCTAGCAATTCCTGCTTCACCTTAGGCTAGTTTTATGGTCCCTTTAAGTCCAAGTTCCTCATTTGTAAGAGTGGACCATAATAGGACCTACCTTTAGAGTCTCATAATACTTAGGAAAATGACCAAGAAGCACAGAACACTGTCTGTCTGGGCCACATAGTAGGTAAAATCCTCAATAAATATTCATACATATCTTTTTTTCTTCTACCACATTGCCATGCTTCTCCCATTTGTATGCTACCTGTGTCGGAGCAGTTGGAAACCCTATTTCCTCCCATTCTTTTTCTCCCCCAACTTTCTCAACTGGAGCCAATGAACACATGAATGACAAAAAAATAAATGTACAATCAATTGCACATTCATCCACCAGTCTTTGATAAAGGGTTGTTGCCTTTTCTTTATTTATGAGTTTGTTGATTAGTATTGTGCAAAAGCTTGCATATACCAGGAAATTCAGTTCAGGTTTCTTTAAAGGTGAAGCAAGAACACAGATTCTTGAGAATCAATTTGAGAGCAATATCTATTTTTTTTTTCTTTTAATCAAGTCTCCTGAAACGTTCCACTTGGTTTTCACGGAAACAACGACTCTTTTTATACTGGTGGTTGATTAGGTGATGTAAATGTTAAATGTAAATGTTATAAATAAAAAGAACCATTATTAAATTATTTTTAAAAAACCCAAAAAACCCTACACCTGGTTGGAAACAAAGTGAGTTGGCATTCGGCTGGGATGCAGTGCCGCAGGTGGAATTTAAGAGTGAAGGCACGTACAGCCCTGAGCGTCCAGGGTGCCAGGGACACCAGGCGGTAGAGAACCAGATGAGCCATTCCGTGGTTGGTTAGAAAAGCTGCTCCTGTAACCATATTTCTCCTGACAGCTTGAATACAAGTCAGACCTGGTTTTCTCTCCTTAGTTCCAGAGAATATCTTTAGGGCCTTATAGTGGTAGTTCGCAAACCCTTCCATGCATCCAAATCCACTATAGAGCATTTCAAAGCAGATTCTTGTGCTTCATCTTGGACCTATTAAATCGGTTTCCAAAGCTCTAGATCTGAATCTAGATCTTCTAGCAGGTTTCTCAGGTGCTTCTTTTACAGAAAGATTTGAAACCCACTGAATTTGACCAATTTTTATGTTTGAGCCTAATGTTCTAGAAGAGTTTACTCTTTGAAGAGTGTAAATCTGTAAACACAACCTGCTTGGTAAAGTCAAGGCTTCGTAATGACATAATTTACTTGTGCTGTCAGTGTTTGTACCTCCCATGTTTGAATAGCCAACACAGAGCACGTCTATTCCCCACATTCATCTTACACTCTATTAAAGGTGTCAGCACAGCAAACCCACGATAAATACTTACTGAATAAGCACAGTGTGAAAACTAAGTTGGAAACATTTCTTTTTATAGTTTTATGAAGACCATTTTGGACCCTGTGCATAGTATATAATCATATTAATAATTTGATTGGCAGCTTATGTTAACTTTTCAATTGTCCAAATTTAGATACTGATTTATTACTTTGCCTTCAGATGTATGATTCCATTTGTTTATTTTAATTTACAGGTGTGATACTTTTATTACCTATTCAGCATATTTAACAGATGGGAAAATACAAATGTGTAGGTAATTATGGTGTATCTAAGTTATGAATTTTCCATACCAGCCAGGATTCCCCAAGCGCGTTAAAGTGATTTACTTGCAAGCTGTTTGATGATACAACTAATCAGTTTGTTTTGTCCTTAATAGTGGGGTTGCCCAGACACTCAAGAAAGGGGAAGTTTTTTTGTATGAAATTGGAGGAAATATTGGTAAGCACATTTTTTTTTCTCTTTGCATTCCATATGCTGATTTGACATTGCCAGCGATTGTTATTTATATCTTTGGAGAAAAAAAAGTGGAAATTAGAAGTAAAATGTTACATGCTTTATAGCTGCTGAATATCGTGGGTTTGTTTAATGGTCTGACCTTTCTGTTCGGGCTCTATTTGAGCTCCTTCTGCACAAATGCCCATCTGTGTTCAACCTCAGCGAATTCAAGTTCCCTATATGATTGGAGTAACTTCTAGCATGGTTAATGATGCAAGTTTTTTGGAACTTCTTTCTTTTTTGTACACTCACATCACATAATAAAGGAAGTAGTTGAGCTTATTTGACACTAAGATAACACTTTATTATGGTATAGTACTAGATATTTTTAGTAAAACCACCAATAATTGTGGCCATAGTTGATTTCCTGCTAAATTTTACACACACACACACACACACACACACTCTCTCTCTCTCTCTCTCGCTCTCACATTAACTTTGGTAATTTAGGAAATAGAAATAGAATAAATGATGTAATTTTGACTGTGTTCTATAACTTATTTTGCCCTTTTGTAGTTATCAGTGGATCTTACTCATCTCTTTTTTAAAATTTAAAGGAAGCTTATCTTTTTTTGACTCTGAAAATGGTAAGGGCAAAATTGTTAAGAAATAAATGAAATAATGTTGAACTCAAAATAGTAATTGAAAATAATTTTAAGATGAGTTCTGTAGAATTTTTTTCTGGGACTTAAAAACTGTTAGTAACTATTGAAAGTAGAATATAGGAATATGGAGGCCCATTCTTAAAATTTAAACCATAACTCCACTAGAAACCTGGAATTATTAACTTTATTAGTAAAGCTTATGTAAATATGAATGTATTTGATTCTTCATTTATTCTTAGATCTTGGAAATTAAGTGTAGTTTCTTAGGTGGATTCAAAACCATTGCCAGTATTGATAAAGGTGAATAAGCTTTTAAGAAACCATTTAAAGCCCATCACATAAACTATTTTCAGTTTCCTAAATTAATTTGAAAGCTGTGTCATTTAGAGAAAGACTATCAAAAGGACTTTTGCAATATTTTGGCTGATTCTTATTATGAGAAACAGGAAACAGTGAGAAGTAGTTTGAAGTCTAAGACTTAAGAGTTACATCATTAGGCTTAAATTTAAAATTGCATCCCATTCTACCCGCTGTATTAAACTGATACAATATCTCTTTAATAGGGGAACGCTGCCTGGATGACGACACTTACATGAAGGACTTATATCAGCTCAATCCAAATGCTGAATGGGTTATAAAGTCAAAGCCATCGTAGAAGGCTTAACAAGCTGCAGATAACTACCGTGGGGACTTCTGTAATACTTCTTGCTGAGTCAAGAGTGTAAATAAAAGAAATGGCAGTACTCTCCTTCAACTGTACCCAACTATTAAAAAATGACACTCTCAAGCCTTAAAAAGTCATAGATTTATGCTGCTGCCAGAATTTTGTTAATTGTTATTAATATTATTATAAAACAAATATTTCTGGAGTGGGAGGAAAGAGGCTTAACTTATGTGCTATTTTTATATTCTCTGTGAAATGTGTCCAGATATGACATAGTTTTTTTTTTTTTTTCAGTATGAAAATATATTCTCTTCCCACTCACTGTTTCCTCCTAAAATCATATGTACTATAAATATATGCTTTCTCCCCTTTATTACCTCCTCACCTCTGCCTTCCCCCAGTTAGGTTTGCTTTTTAACCAAAAAGATAAATACCAGATCTGGCAAGTTGTGAAGATAGCACATATTAAAACATACCTAATTTCAGAGTATTCCTGTCACTGGAATGTTAGTATTCATCTCTTTGAATCATTTGTTTAAATAATAACATTCTGTTTCTTCCTGCTGTATCACATGAGGTGATTTGCATTTTTTTCAGTTCATCTGACATATGTGCACAGAACTGTATCCACAATCAAGAAAATAGGACTGTCAGAAGCTGCCAGTTACTACTGAACCATTAAATACTTATATACGAAGAATAAATAAAATATACCCATGTGAAATAACTGGATTATGGATAAAAAGAGAGTGAAAGTTAAATCACTTTGTGCATGCTATACTCTTCCAAACGGAATTGAAAAAGTTATCTCTGGCTTTACCTGTTGTCATATGAGAATTATAAATATGCATGATAGCATAATCCAGTAATGGTTGAAGAATGTATTCTACTTAAAGAGGGTTTTTTTGTTTTTGTTTTTGTTTTTTTTTCTTTTTTACTCCTGAATGAGTCTACTGGAAGAGTTATTCTTCTGGGTATGACACAGTCATGTGAACAAGCTTTTCTTTGTGTACTTATTTTAAATAATCAGAGTCAATTTATTAAGATGTTGTGGAAAGTACTGTTCCCAGGGATTTTAATGCACACACCATATTGTGACAAGAGATGAGCCTCCGTACTGTAAATAATAGAAGTAAGAGAGAAATGTTAAATATTTTATGAGTTTAGAGTGTAGTAAATAAAAGGTGATGTACGTGAATGCTGCACAAACCATGTTTATGATACTTTTAGTAGTACTTTAGGAAAAATTACACATTCTCAGAAGCTCTTGATGTTAGTCTAATTAGGAGAGAAAATGCTGTTAATGAGAATAGTCATATATTTTTAGCATATAGTTACAAGAGCAGCCTGTGGATATGATCACTTAAATAATTTTGTGGTGATTTGTGCCATTGCTTTTTTATTTAAAAATAAATTTTGTAATTAAATGCCTTTTTCAAAATTATCTTCTCTTGGAATCATTGCTTTTAATCTTATGTGTTCATGAGTCTATTTTTTCTTTTTCTTTTTTTCATTAATATTTTTAGTTCACAAATGGACTGTTTTTGTTGTTAAAAGTCATTTCTAGTCTTTTATTTCTTCTATTGCTCTTGTATTTTTAAAGTGGAAATGCATGTGGGAGTTATAAACGTTCCTTCCCTAGTTTTTTCCTTATGCAAGTTTCTATTTGTTAGGACTTTCAAAACACAGTTTGTTGTTTCTGGTTTTGACAATGTGTATTAATTTTGCAATTAGCAAAATGATGCTTTATTAATGGTGTGATGAAAACATTATAAAAGAAAAATTAAGTGCTTAAAACATTTTAGGAGTGTACAACTTCACAAAAGACAGCAGTGAATATGATGATTTAAATAAAAAGTTTTCTAAAGCATATGTCAACTAATTTCACCACACCTACTGCCTACCTGGAAGGGGGTGGGGAGACATAAGAGGTTTTTGATTATGACCAAGTACCAGATCTTGGTAAAGAAAAATGAAAATGTCATTTTGAGTCCTTTTTAGAACTCATGACTCAAGTTCATTGACATTGAAACAATATTGCATTTAAATACCAAAAAAAAAAATCACTTCTAAAGAGGAAAGAAAATTTGATAGTGTAGAGCCTCGAATATAAATGTCCTGGTATTAATCCAAATGCTTTTGCTATGATTATTTTTTTCTTGTGAATTTTAAATCTCAGGATAGATTTTTTAAAGTTTACTTTTGTGTGAGAGAAAATAAAAACAAATATATTTGCTCTGAGTCACAAACATTTTAACTCATAAGGCAGTTGCTGATGAACAGTGAAAAGAGTTGGGATTTATAAAAGACTGGTTGCCCAGTTAACATATTTGTGATGCTTCCTCTTTTCTGAAAGGGGTCATTATAATTCTTTGCATTTACCCAGTCTTTGCTTAATGCTGCTGTACAATTCAATGTCAATTCTTTGAGAAAAGCGGTTTATTTTATTGACTTCATGGGATTTTTCATTGTTTGTTTTCCTAGTTTTCATTAAACCGTTTGCATTTTCTATCTGATTGTCCTGGTTTCTCACCTACTCATCAGTAGGTGGCAGTATTGGTCAGGGATTCCTTTGTATCGAAACTATGGGAAGTTTTAAAAATGAACTGAGTTCCTAGGTAAGTAGCAAAGATTCAGTGCCAGGCATCTGCAGCCAGGTAGTTAAGAATACTGTGGATCTCTTGTTTTGATTACCAATTCTGAAATTGTAAATAATAATTTCAGAGTTTCTCTGTTCAGTCTCTTTGTATTTTATCCTTAACTAATTGAGTAGGAAGGGAGGGAGGAGAGGAGGTTTTTCTGAGCCAAAATTAGATTTTTGGCAATGTTTATTTCAAGCAGAAGGATTGTGACAAGAGGCAAGGTATTGATCTAGGAAAGGAAGAGTAAGGATGTCTAAGATAAGAGGACGTAATGATCTCTGTGTTTTAGTATATATGTGTTTATTTCTTCATTCGACAAGTATTTATCGGGCGCGTACATATGTGTCAGGCATGTTCTACCCTTGAGATATGTTAGTAAACAAATTAACAAAACTCCCTGTACTCATACAGCTTACATTCTAGTGGAGGGAGATAAATAATGAATTAAATGGACTCGTACAATTATATAGTATGTTGAATGGAGACAGAAAAAAGATAAGCAGGGTAAATAGGACGAGGGGTGGAGGGATGGGCTCATTGCAGTATTAAGCAAAGGGTCTCACTGAATAACAGATAAGCAAAGACCCTTGAAGCGAGGGACTTGCCACGTGGATAACTGGAAGAACAGCATTCTAGACAAAGGACAACTAGAACAAAAGGTCCAACACAGAAGTGTGCCTGGCTTCCCAAAGGTTGGCAAAGGTACCAGTGTGGCTGGAGCGGACTCGGGGCCAGTGAAAATAACAGATGAGGTTGGAGAGGTAACACCAGGGTAAAGGCTGAGATCCTGGAGGGCCTTTTGTTAGGGTCACTATTTTTTATTTTCAAATCAGGATGTTTCTGATAGTGAAACAACACTGTTGGCGAGGGCAGTAGTTGTGGATGATGAGAAGTGCTCAGATTCTGTATATATTTCTAAAGGCAGAGCCTATAGGATTTCTGTTATGAGGGAAATAAAATACATTTTTAATCAAGGATAATCACAAGGTTTTTGACTTGGGCCACTGGAAAGATGTAGTTTCCAAGAATAGAAACAGACGTGGAGGCCTGAGGGAGGAGAGATTCAGTTCAGTCATGGGGATGTTGAATTTGAGGTGCCTGTTAGATATCCAAGTGGCAGTGTTTTGTAGGCAGTTATATGAGCAGAAGTGTAGGAGGGAGGTCTGGGCTGGAGAGTCATCAGCATGTGGACTCTTAACTTAAATCGTGACCTTACATGAGGCCACCGAGGGAGGCAGTGAGGATATGGCAGAGAAAATCACCAAGGATCCAGCCCTGCAGCTACCCAACATTAGAGGTTAGTGTTACCTCCCAAATGGAGGAGTTCACTCACTTGGTGGTTGTCAAGTCAACAGACACAGCCAAGTTGGTTATGGCAGGAGGGTTTTTATTATTTGGCACAACTGGGGATAGTTCCCAAAGCAGTGTGTCCCCACGTAAGGGGTTGGGCTGGTTTTATAGTCAGAGGATGATGAGGCATGATCTGATGAGGATCTTGTGATGGCATGATGCCAGGAGACATCCTCTGACTGGATTCTGCCATGGTATGATGCCAGGGCGCAATCTGATTGGGTTCTGGGTCCTGCCATGCAGTGTCTTGCCTCTTAATTCAGTCTCTGCCCTTTGGTCCGGGCACTTAGGTTCTGCCCAGGGTTGCACACTTGGTTCATCTGGCCATGCTCAGGTTAATGTGACCTTCAACCTGGGACTCCAAGGCAACTGAAAAACAACTCACAACTTTGTCACATAAAAGTTAAGGCAGATTGGTCTGGTGCAGTTACATTAGGAAGAGGAGAAGGCACTAACAGAGAGATTGAAAAGAAGTGACCTTTGAGATAACTGAGAGATTGCGTTGTGCCACAGCCAAGTGAAGAAGGGAATGGTTGTAATATAAGAAGCTAACCATAGCTCAAATGAGCTAAGCTAGGAATTGACCACTGGATTTATCGATGCAGATGTCTTTGTTGATCTTGTTGAGCAGTTTAGGTAAAGTTGTTAGATAGCAAGGGATTCCGGGTCTCCTAGGGACAAAAGTGGGTGCTGTCCCCTTGGTGGAAGGCCTTCATCTTGGTCCTGCTCCACCCTAATCTCCAGAGCGACTGCCATACCTGTGGGAGGAAGGAATACCCTATGAATCAGCCAATCATAACTTAGCATGCCAGCTGCAAAAGAATGCAGAGGACTCTCTAGCCCACGGGCCAAGCAGTGTAGGTACCATAGAGTCTGGAACTTAACCCAGAATAACCCGTATGCATATTGATGCAACTCCCATCTGTTCAATCAAAGTGGTTCCATGGTGACATCTGAACCACGATGGAGGTCCTAATCCGAACACTATAAAACAAGATGCAGACCATAACGAAGTCCCTTTTTGCACCCTTCCTTTTGCTCTCTCTTCGCAATGACAGTGGGTCTGGTCATCATCTGTGGCGTGTGTATCATGCTTTGTAAACCTATATCTTGCTGTTGCCCTATAATCCTGTCTTTCTCTCAATAAACCTCATTTCATGCTTGCTTTGCTTTGGTGCGTCTGGTCATTCTTTGGCCATGAGTGTGTCAAGAACCAACATTTTCACACTGAAACCTGCCAAAGTGATAGGGATGGTTATGATGTGGTTAAGAGAGAACGGGAGAAGAATTGAAGACTGTAAGAATGTACAGCTCTTACAAAGAGTTGTGCTGCTACACAGAGGAGCACATAAATGAGATGCTAGCAGATGAAGTAGGAGGTGTTGTATAGGGGCCTTTGATGCTGGGTGAAAGAGTTTTTCGACCTGGTACATTTAAGTAACAGTTTGAGAAGTGACATGGATTCTCGAGCTAGACTACTTGGGTTAACTAATGTAACCTTGGACAGGTTACTCACCTGTGCTTCATTTTCTGCTTTATATAAAGATAGTAACAAGAATATTTACTTCTTAGCAGCTAACTAGAATCAATCCATATAAAGTGTTCAGCAGCATATTTGGCAGTAAATAATAAACATATTAGTGGTTATTATCAAATGTTATTGGAGTTGCATCTTAAGAATTATCTCAAACTATTATTCTGCCATAATCTTTGTCTATTTTATGTAACAGACCCATCAGGAACAGATCACAGTAAACAGGCAAGAGAATGGGGGAAGGGAAGGCAGTAACAATATTTAGAATAACAAGCTCCTCCCCCCAGGCAATTCTGATAGCTTCTCCCATGAAGATTCTCCCATGAAGATAACTCTCCCCAAGTTAGGAATCATTTCTTGAATACTTGAGAAATGTCCCTCCTTATCTCACATGGGATCATGCCACACTATCTCACTTGGAAATCAGTGGTAGTAACTCTTCTTGGAATATCTGTGGCATCTTAAAGGGCACAGAAATAATTCCAGAATATCTTTTCCCTACTTCCAGTGAGCTCAGCTCAACTTTAAATATTATTAGTTTTATTTCAGATAAAGTGGCATAGGGACAGAATTCTCTCCCTGCATCTCAAACCAGGAGGTCTAGGAAGAAAAAACTTTCCCCAGATTATTTTTCCATCTTGATATTTTGTTCGCTCCTGGGATGAGCCTGGGCCCCTTCCCTTGGGGTCAGCTGCTCCTGCAGACAGGGGTCCATATCATTGTCCTGGTTTCTCTGGGTCTGTGGTCTCTCAGATTTCATATTGAGTAAGTATTAAATAGCAATAACAATTTCCCTTCTATTTTAATTGGCCTCACATCTTGGAGTTTGGACTTGGCATCCAGCTTCTCTTTTTCACGTGCAACCTAAAGACTTGTGTGGGGTTGCCTGGCTCCGGTAGAAAGGATTTCATATGAAGCATCAGAAACCCTTTCCTCCATGTAACCATTTCTTCAAGTCCTTAAGGTTTCTTTGAAGGGTTTCATGCATTATTGTCATGTGTAGCTGCATACTGCGTAAGAGAGACAGATTGGTTGCTAGAAAAGCTGTTTCTGTGGTATTTCCAACTAAAGCCAAGACGCTCTGGCTTTGTCACAAGCAAGCTTTTTGAGATTTCAAGTCTTGATTTCCCAACCGAAAGAGCTCAGATAAGCTTCAGAGAAAGCAGCTCCACTCTCCGCTGTCTTTTGCTCCTCTTTTGATGTTCACCTCTCACTCCACCCGGGCAAGCTCAGTGCTGCCTCTTGTTTCCTCTCCTCTAACCTTTACAAAATGACAGCTTTCATGTAATCTCTGCCTGAAGTCACCTTCCCCTCTGGCAAGGGCCAAAGTGAAAAGGAATTTCCCCTAGAGGGAAGCTCACAAGGAGAGTCACAGATAGTAGCCCTATTCTGAGCTATCAGTTAAAATTTTCTTTCTTTCACCTGTCTGTAGCCTTGTTACAAAAAGGGAGTGACAGAAGCCTTACTTGTGCCTTTCCAACTCTCATTTCCATGGGGGAGATCTTGGGGCATCTTAGCTTTGGTTGCTGGTGTCACCCAGTTTGTTTTTGGCCAAAAAGAATTCTGGGAACACAAAGAATTGACTGTTGTTCTTGTGCGTCTCCTTTTGTCCAAGAATCGTGAAACACCTTCTAGGACACGCTTCATTCATTCTCAGGCATGTTTTTATGTCTTATGAAATTATTAGGCATAACTGGAGAGTGCCTTGAAATATACTGTGAGTTCATTAGATAATGTTATAATAAGGAGCATTTCAAAGGTTCGGCAGGAAATACGGGTATCCATTTGTTCTTCCCCTCCTTTGTTTTTCTTTCTAAACATTTTATTACTAGCTATGTGCTGTACCATGGTTTATATCCTGATGATGTCAAAATCAATCGTATGATGCATTTCCACAAAGAGATTAGCTTTAGATTTGTGGGTAGGATTGATAGAGGCTGGTGACAAGGAATGTATTCTCAGCAAGTGCACTCTGAGGGGGGAAG